TGTGTTTTAAACATATTTAAGTTTCTGAAAGAAAAACATTTGGTTGCTTTGCAAACCTACACCAGATTGCGTGGTCTTTGTGTTTTATACTTAGAGTTTTGATGCTGAAAACAGTTGCTAAAAATAAAATAGAAAATTTTGGGCAGCCAGTCCAGCATATTCCTCAGGGGAGCAGAGGAAGCTGTGAGTCTATAAAGGAAGCAAATGTGAAGGACAATGTGCGTTATTCATTGCACATGTGTTCATCGTATTCAAAGCTAATTTCACTTTCATGTAAAACGGCAGATACAAACGCCAAGAGACGAGGCCCCGCTACAGCATCGGGCTGGAGCAGGATGAGACCTACATTCCCCCTGGAGAGTCCCTGAAGGATTTGATCGAGCAGTCCCAGAGCTCAGGGAGCGGCTCCGGGCTCCCTCTCCTGGTAAGGAAGCGATATTATTTTAATGCAAGTTTAAAAGGCAAAAATGAGTAGAGGGAGAAGTCTAAATGAGGCACAAGAAATTACATTTCTGTGTCCTCAGTTGTTTTAGGTTTTTTTCCTCTCCCAGAAATGACAAGGATTTAAGCTGGAGAACAACTGCTTTAGAAGCAGGAGACTTTTTTTCATGGAGATTAAGTGAAAAAAGCCTAGGGTTTTTTTTACCTCAGCTCTTTTCTTAGTTTAGGTACCATAGGGTAAGTACAGGCTAATAGAGCTCACAGAAATTCATCAGGATTTACCCCAGTGTACAGGACAGCATCTGGCCCACTGATCTTATTTTATTGCTTTTTATGTGCAATACACAATAGCATTTCAAACACTGACACATCGTCTTTATGTAAAGGGAACTGTAATTCATCAAACCTGGAACCTTTTTATGTGTAGACTTCACTTTGCATTCAGAAGTCAAGAGCGAATTATTTTTCCTTGTAGTGTGGCAATCTCAAAGGCTAAAGGCACAGAGATAGAGTTTGCGATTATTTCTGAACTGACTCCAGGATGACTGAGCCCCCTGAGCTCACCTGCTGAAAAGGCAGAAGTTTTACCTTCTGTGGCAAAACAGTTCTGTTCACCAGGGGTTTTTGTTTCTGGGAGTCATCGTTGCTTTTTAGCACTGAAAAAAAAAAAGCCAGGTTACTTATTTAAAACACTGCCTCTGACAAAATGAATTCGATTTCATTTTCATTTTTCAGAGATGGTATGTCCCTCCTGTCTCCCAAACCTATTTGTCTGTAGTGATCCTATTACTGTAGATGTTGTCCAGTTTCCAAGTACTGCGTACTATCTATCTGGTTTTTGCTCACACATCTTTTTTCTACACCCTAAAGAAGAAATAAAATGGGAAACTTTATAATTTCTTAAAATGAAGCAACAGGCTGAGTGGTTGGTGAAAATCTGACTAAACTCAGTTTGTTCTCACAGGAGTAAATACTTAGAGTCCCATTTAAATAAAGACCTGACTTTTTAAAAAATCCAGTGTTCTGACAATTAACAAAGCTATTGAGAAAAAAAGCCAAGCTGCCAAGTGGGTGCTGTGACTAGTACTGAGCATGGAAAACCCACGGTTATTTTTCTCTGTTGGGAGAAACTCCATCATTTAAGTCTAGGCTTTAAGAAAGCTCTGTCATATCCCATACCAGTGTCCCTCTAGAAGCCATGAAAGGGGAGGGCCCATGCTTACAATTTAGGACCATTCCTAATGAGTGCTTTCACTTGATTTAGTTGTGAGGGGTTCTTGCTTTTTTTGCATATTTTTGCATAACACCTGCCACATCAGGGTCTTGGTCTGTGCTTGGTGCTCCTACCTGTTACAGTGACAGAAATAATAATTTAAAGCAAACACAAGGAACTTGGTGGTTGTTCTCTGAGAGGATGTGTTTCCAGCAGCCCACGTGGGTAGCAGGTGCCCTGGGGCATCTCGTAGCAGTGCATGGCTCAATACTTCATTCCAGGATGCCCTTGAGACAAAAAAGCTGGAGCAATGCTGGTTGTGACTGCTTGTGCTTTATGCCTTCCTCTGTCCCAGTGAGCTAGTTGAAGATGGGATCTGTGGTCTTACTGATGTCCCCAGGTCTACTCTTGCGGTGGACAGAAAAACTAACTTCTGCTAATTAACTGCTGTAATGGCCGAGGTGGCATCCCAGCTGGGTTGTTGCCCAGTAACTCCCAGAGCTGTGCCGGTGCTCCGTGAAGCAGAAACCATCCTATCTTCTGCCAGTCCTCCTCTCTCAAGCCTGGAGACTTTGCAGCCACTGGACCAAGTGTTATTCCTGAAGGCACTCTTTCCCCTCTCTCTTTGCCTATGAAAATGCGTATGTTTTTCTCCCAGACTTTCCCTTTAAGTAGTGATTTTCTGTGGAAGAGAAGAAAAACGAGAGCTATAATGAATCTTGCACTTGGTAATAGATGTTTGCTGCATTACCCAGACAGCTACAGCTGCTACAGGCTCACTAGAAATGCACAGATTAATACCTCTGGGCCCATGCCTGAGACAAGTATATAGAAAGCGCCTAGCAATAATGCTCTAAACTTTATTGAGGAAGAGTTTGTTTTTAACTGTATTATTTCTTATGCAAAGACCAAAATATCCAGAGTTATTATTTCAGGAAAGTAAGCTGCAAATTTATTACAAAATGTCACTTTATGCTAAACAGTAATGTTTTCCTTCTGTGCAGAACATTTATTTTAATGGGTACAAATATTATACCAAAACCAAGCATTAACCGAGATTTTATCGATACTTTGACATTCAGCAAGCGTTCTTTCTCCTGACCTGTTCGTACCTCTGACAGAAGAGTTTGCTGCAGGTCAAATGCTGCCAGTCAAATTTTAAACCAAGAAAAAAATAAAGTGAGTTGTAAATAAAAGCTTTGAGCCAACAAACTGGGGTGCACAATCAAGTCTGTGCAAGCAAGGGGATCCCCGTTGGCCCTGACAAAGCAAGAAGTGTAGGCAAAGCTGTTGGCCCTGTGAATCCACATACAAAATCGGGGAAGGAGATTGGATGCTGGGGACGCTTATTTCAGTGGTCTGTATGAAGAGTTTGCTGAATTACAGTTTGGTCTCTACCTTTTCACGTATTTTTTTCCTAATTCCTCTTCCAATGAATTTCGCTTTTCAAGGGACTGCATCCCAGCCATAAGTATGGAGTTCTCTGTTCAAAATATTGAAGTTACAAAAGGTTGGTTTGTCTGAATTTTAACCTGCAGTAGCTGAACACATTTAGCTGAACATCAGAAAAACAGAATACAGAAAGTAGAAACGGTTGGTAACTGGATTGATTCCAGTCAGGAAGAGGAAACAAAGGGCCACGTAACCTTACCTGGCTGCTCACAGAGCTCAAGCAGCAAAATACACAGGTTTGAAACGAAATTAAAAAAACCCAACCCCACACAGTGTAAATAATTCACATGAACACATCATTCAGCATGCTTATGAAATCAGTTCATCCAACAATTTTGATTAACTGATTTGTTTTGGAAATTGTAATCAGTTTATGATTCAAGAAAGGGCTAAATTCCTTAAAATAAAATAAATTGTTCATAGGAAATCGTTTGACCAGTTCTAGCAAGAGGAAACCAGGTTAAGGCCCTTCACATAGTATTCTGCCGCCTGAAAACGCATAACAGAAATGTGTTTTTCATTTTCTTAATGTAATTTAATAAGGAACTTTTCATCATTAAGTATTGTAATTCCATGTACTTTATGATGCCATTACATATATTTACACAAATTAAGTTATTTGATATAACTGCATTATTGTTCAGGATGCATTTTTAAAATGGGCAAAATAGAAAGCAACAATGCTAAAATGACATTACAAAATGTTACAGCAAAATACCAATGTAATATAACTATTGTTCAATCACTACATGAGAGTATAAAAGAAAATAAATCAATTTTAAAAATTAAGGCTAATCTCTGTTCTTGGCTTTCACTGATGTTAAAAAATAACAGCACTGAAGCCACCTTCTTGGAAGTCTAATAATACATTGCAGGGCTGAAAAAATGGAATTCTGTTTAAATGACAGAAGAAGAAAGCTAGGACTTTTGAAATAGCTTTGCATAAATGCTACTGTATGTTTTTCTTTTTTGAATTGTTTAATATGAAAACCAGTAATTTATTTACAAAATAAATGGTAATAGACCTTACCTAATAGATTTTGAGTTTGTCTTTGGACATACGTTCATGCTGCAGCGGGATTGTGGCAGTCCTGCTCTGCATTACCAAACTGGTAGTTTACACTGGACCTCCCAAGGAGAACAAAGGAAGCAAATGATTTTAAAATCAAGTTTTAATAATTTCTGTCAGCCAAGACAGATTGTATTTGGGACTACATGAAATGCATATGATTTCATAGGTATTCAGGCAGTGCACTGCAATAAACTGCTTGAAATTTGTATATGGATGGTGGCAAAACCGAGAGACCTCGAGTTTGTGCTTGTCCAAGTTTTGCCAGTTCCTTGGGCCAGGTGAAAAACCCCTTGCATTGGAGGCTATAAAGTTATTTTCTTTCAAAGTCTTGTAAAATCCTACCAAACCAAAAATCATTAGCTGTGGATTGAACTGGCAATACTGAAGCACAAAAGGGTGACATTTTAATCTCCTGTTATACTAGGGTGAGGCTGAGTCGGCCATGAACACCAGTGGGTTGTGTTGCAGCATCTACTTGAGTTTTTATTTGTGAACTTTTAAAAATACATGATCTGCGGTAATGCTCAAATCCTATGAGAATATATTAGTCTCCATTTGTCCAAGATTTTTTGTAGTCATAAAAGCTTGTTAAATGTAGAATCAGTCCATCTGCTACATGGGGTCTGCCATCCTTATGAAGGGTATCTCTGCAATGCTGCTGAGTACATTGAACTTCTGCTACAGCTGCACAAATGGTTTGACTTTAGCATCAGTTCGCAGTATAGCCACTGGCGAAGCTGGTATGGACACTAGAAAAGGCAGATTTAAAGCTGTGTTTCCATATCTTTGGAAAAAAAATTCTTACTTTTTATTGCTATGTGATGATGATTATCAAAATTAATGTAGGCACTTTCTAACACCAAATTTGTATTTTGAAATTATTAGGCATGGGATTTTCAAGGAAGGTGATAAGAAGCTGCTCTCAGTAATTCTGCTAGTTTTAGGGCGATGATATGCTTTTGGCTCTTGTGAGCCCTAACCTTGAGTCTCAACGGTGTTGAGTATGTAATGAACATCCCCGTTTTAATTGAAAATGTATTACCTGCCCTTTTGGAATTTGATTTGCATTGGGGTGGCCAGCAGTGTTTTCTGTCAAAGCTTTTCCAAAAATAACAAAAAAATTTCCACAAAATGGCAACCTCCCACAGGAAAATAAAAATTTCAAGGTTAGTAGTCAAATATTTCCTTCACACAGACTGATTTACTTTCTTGAGAGGCCACGGTGCGTTTTGGGAATGTATGAAAAGGCATCTTCGTAGTGGCAGGAATGGCCTCACTCACACTGCATCCTGGGGGAAACGGGGAGCATCCGCATTGTGGAGCTTTGCCGAAATCCACGTTGCAATGGTCGTGTATTCCCCTTTCCACCGGGCTTGCTGCGTGGGGAGGAGACACAGAAAGAGGGAGGTGAATGCAGAAGGTATCTGTGGAGCAAGTTGTAACCCCCCCATCTTGGCATTTCACAGGTTCAAAGGACCATCGCAAAACAGATTCAGATGGTAAAGCAGATTGGAAAAGGTCGCTATGGAGAAGTCTGGATGGGAAAGTGGCGTGGCGAAAAGGTAGCCGTGAAAGTGTTTTTTACCACGGAGGAGGCCAGCTGGTTCAGAGAAACAGAAATCTACCAGACTGTCCTGATGAGGCATGAAAATATTCTTGGTGAGTGACATTAAAGAGAATTATTTGATAGTGTACACGTTTCTTAAGTTTAGTAATTTTGTATTCGCTGTTGTCTGATGCCCTTTCCTATGTGCTTTGTTACCTGCTGTGCTCTGCAATTAGCCACCCAGCACTTTTCAAAAGAAAGATGTTTCAAGGATTACTGAAATATAAATAAAAGTTAAAAAATAGTGGGGTTTGGGGGCTGTTACTGCAAACACCACACGTCTGTTTCTGCCACCTGGATTTCCGTATCGGGCTTTCTGAAAATATGTTAAAGGCTAGAGGTGAGGCATAGTTCCATGAAAGTAAGATTAAAGAAATTAAATACGTTATTAAAATAAAACTATTGAAGTGGCTGACAGTCCAGAGTTCTGAGCAGTCTAAAAAAGCCAGAGAAGTATTAATTTGAAAATCTTCTTTTTCTTTGCAGGATTCATTGCTGCAGACATTAAAGGTACAGGATCTTGGACCCAGCTGTATCTCATCACCGACTACCATGAGAACGGCTCGCTTTATGATTATCTAAAATCTACTACCTTGGACACAAAAGCCATGTTAAAACTGGCTTACTCCTCCGTTAGTGGCTTGTGCCACCTGCACACTGAGATCTTCAGTACTCAGGGCAAACCCGCTATTGCCCACCGTGACCTAAAAAGTAAGAATATCCTGGTGAAAAAGAACGGCACCTGCTGTATAGCAGATTTGGGCTTGGCTGTTAAGTTTATCAGGTGAGTAGAAGTGAGGAGGGTGAGGAAAACTTGGTAAATCAGATGCAAACGCTGGTTTAGTTGTTGACTGAGCGAGCGTGCACATGTGAGTCAGCGCCAGCAGTGTATGTGCATACCTTTCAGGCTACCCTTATCTGTACGTGAGGTGGGACTGCCTGTGTGGATGAGAATGTCACGTAAACACATAATGCAGGTGTATAAATAGTCACTGTTTTATTATTGAGCACATTAGTAGCATTTGCATAAAAGTTTGGTTTTCATCACTTCTCCCCCTCAATAGCAATCTGAGTATTGCTGCCACATGCTAAAAGGACATAGCACTGACAGGTTGGAGTCATGTCAGTAAACTTGTCGATGAAGCTTTCAGGTTGTCTGATCGCAAGATAATTCACTCACAACTTATATAGAATAATTCTAATCATTTGCACAAGTTTCTAATTGGTATTTATTGAAAAGCACCCCATTTGGGCTGCCTTTTGTTTCATTTCCTACAAATCAAATTGCCAAAGTACAGATTTGATTTTTGAAATGGCTTTTAAATTTGATTTAAAAAAAAATGGTTGTGTGTTTAAACAACTTAGAGCAGACGAGTAGGACTTACTCACTCCTGGGATTTGTAAAGGAGTCATCACTGTCTGACAGCTCCATTCAAAAGGAGCTTGAGCTCTCGGCACTGGTCCTGCTGGTGGAGACATGAGTTAGGAAGTCTCTGATTTTTCTGTGCACAGAAATGTGGCCATAGACTGAAGGTTTCCTTTTCAGAGGTCAGCTTTGAAACCATGCACTCCCTGAAGTATCAAAAAAGATTTTAAGAATTCTGTACAAATCTTGAACTGAAATTATTCAGAGTGTAAGGAAAAGCAGTTTTTGTGTGCTCTTCTTGCCATTCACTTATCTACCAGGTTTCTTGGTGAGGCTTTTCCTTCATGAACCTGACCTTTGTTTAGGAGATGAGAAGGAATATTTTTACTTTGAGGAACAGCGGCCTAGAAAACAACAACTTGGAAATACACTATTTGCTGTAGAAGTTTTGGGGAAGAAATTCACCCTTTGCAGATATACCTTGCCTGACAAGTACAGAGGAGCACACTGCTTAGGAATGAACTGAGATGAACTAGGAACTACCAAGTGTTGCTATAAAAGAAGGTGAAATATGTATTTGTCACAGTCCAAATGGAATTTACATTACATACTCAGCTTGTTTTCATACTGAATCCTTCCTTAGACAGCATTTCTCAGGCAATGACCAGGAACAGAAAAAAGTAGTTGAAAGGGGTGTGCTCTGCTGAAGCTAATGAGTTTAGTAAAGTTCTCTGCATTTCTCATTTTATTTGAAATATTGGAAGACAGTGCAGGTCACTAGATTTATGTTACATTCTTGGAGGCATACAGAAATGCTACCAGCATATGTATGATTTAATGACTGTGTAGGTGACTGGTTGTACCTCAGGCTTGGCTTTTTTTGTCATTTTCGTAACTGTAGGTGAAGAAAATTGCTGTAGGTGAAAAAAATTACAGAAGTTGTATAATTATTCTGTAAGATTTTGTTGCATCCATCACATTTAAAATGTTTACATTTTGAAGGTGGGGAAAGGGAAACAGACCTTTCTAAACAAACCACAATATATGCCATATATTAAACTTTTAAAAACATTAAAACTGATACAGCTGAATTTGAGTTAATAAGAAAAAAAAAAAAAATCCAGTCACGTAATTAATAGGAATTTGCTTCCTGTTAGATATACATTGTCTCTTCTGGTCAATGTGTGAGGTGTGACACATTTGTTTAGATTTTTTTGCACATTTACATCTGTATGTTTACACATCTTGATGTGTAAAGGTTGGACAAACATAATGCATGCACAAAAAATAGTTATACTCATCTTCCTTGCAGATCTGATTTGCTGCAGCTAAGTGATACTGCCCCAGCTATTTAGTGTCCTCCATTAATTGCTAAGACTAAAGCATTAGGTAGTGGAGTATGTTAAGAAAACAGCATTTAATGAAGATTTGATTGTTATCGCCAGCATTAGAGCTCAGGCTAATGCTAATGAAATCTCGCAAATGTTACAGCATCCCTGTTGAGTCTTATCTCCATTGTGGTTCTGCATTTGAATGCTTAACATAGCCTCAGGCAGGTCAGTCTTTTAAGGAGGGTTGCCTTCACACTAAGAGGCTTTCCTTGTAAGAATTGTTCCATTAAGATTATGCATTACTTTTGACCTTGTTTGAGAATGGATGTGGTGTGAATTTAGTACTTCTCCCATTTAAATTGCTTTTCTTTTCAAGCCACTTTACTGCATGTTTGATGCCTTTTTTATTCTCCTTCTTTTTCTTTTAGTGATACAAATGAGGTAGACATACCTCCAAATACCCGTGTAGGAACAAAACGCTATATGCCTCCTGAGGTGCTGGATGAAAGCTTGAATAGAAATCACTTTCAGTCGTACATCATGGCTGATATGTACAGTTTTGGACTCATCCTTTGGGAGATAGCAAGGAGATGTGTTTCAGGAGGTAAAGAGCTGGGAGGTTGCTTTTAATTGTGTCAGTGAATCCCATTTATAACCCAAATCTTCCATTACATCCTTTTCTCTGGGTAATTGTTTTTACTGTAATAAACCAATGTGGATAAACCATACAGGTAACTCTCTTAATATCTGTTCTCTTGTTGAAACTTATTTTAGAGCATCAGCCAGTGCTATTTCAACAGCAAAGATTTAGACTGTATTTTAACAGCTCGTTTGAAGGCAGCAGATACCTGCACTGAAGAAGGAATATGGAACTCATTTGGGGGCCTTTTCCAATGGCAACACATTTTTGCTGGACTGGGGGTATTCAGCTATTTTAGCAGAAAGACAATAGTGATTTCTTCATTTTGATAGAGTTAAATGGGAGGAGGAGGTGAAACAATTTGGGGCTATGCTGTGCCACTATTTAAAAGAAATAATCTGTTTACAAGACAAGTAGAAAAAAAACAGAGGCAAGTGGCACTTATTACATCGTTGGCATACCAGTGATGTGCTTCATTTCCTTCTGATATCAGGCATTCAAGCATGAGGACAGCAAAGGTAAAGCAATGCAGCCAGCTGCAGGCTCGGGGCATAGATCCATCCTCATACACGTAGGCTATGTGTGCTTTCTGCATGTAGAGCTCAGTGCAGTGCAAAAAATGATGGGTGTTATTACCTCTATTTTGCCACTGAGGAAAGTTAAATGCAGAGAAATGACTTGGCAGCCATTACGTGCCAGATTGGTAGCAAGTAAGAGTACAGCATGTCTCTCTCGGGTCTACGCTACCTTCACCAGACTTTATGGGTCTTTAAAGCCTGCAGTATTGTGCTGAATGCTCGCTCCATGCTTACCCTAGAGGAGCTGAATTTCACTGATGAGCAATGTGATGCCTGTGTTTACAAATTGGTAAAGTGTATTGCAATGATGTGATGTAAAATTTGTAATATTGTTGTCATCGTTGCTGTGCTCAAGGAACGGTACCTTGCCATGTTCTGAAAAGGCACAGAAATGCTCTTTAATATATACCAGGTCCACTGATAAGAAGGAGACCTAATTCAAGGTTAATTCTTTGCCAAATTATTCTGATACAGGCCCTATGCTAATAGTTCTTTCTGTGATAACTTACTGGAGATTGCTGGACTGGACAGCAGTGGTAGAAACGGTCTCACCAGGCACGTAGCTATGCTTTCGGATTAAGATACCCAACCAGTCTTTACACAGCAATGGTTGCATTGGAACTTGACTGTGGAATAAACTTCTAGGGCAGGAATGTCCTTTTAAGAAGTACATATAATTGTTGAACAGTATGGTCAATCTGTTATAAAATGAGAGGGGAAGAGGGTAGTGGAAGGTGTCTTCTGCAAGTGATGGGCAACTAATTGCTTCTTTCAGGAATAGTTGAAGAATACCAGCTTCCGTACCATGACCTTGTGCCCAGCGACCCCTCGTATGAGGACATGCGGGAGATTGTGTGCATCAAGAGACTACGCCCTTCATTTCCCAACAGATGGAGCAGTGATGAGGTATTATCCCTCTTAAAATGCAGCCTGTGTTTTTAATCAGAGTGAGTGAGTGAGATTGACCCAGTTCTGCATCATTTTGAGCAAAGAGGAGCTTTACCACTGGCGCTCGCTCACACCAGTCACAGTGTAACAGGGCTTGGGAAGGAGCACGACCTTCTCGGATATCCCCACTGAAGGTTTCAGAACCCCAGAGACCATAGCCTACGATATTTGCAAGCGGGTTCCTTGTATGCTGTCTACTAGATCCCACAGTGATACCAGGCTGTGCTCAGACCTTCTTAGTCTCTCTGTTTTCCTCTTGCACTCATTTTGCTTTCCACTCCCAGCATTAATAGCATTAAATCAGTGGCTAGCCAAAAATTTTGAAACAGAGATTATTTTGTAGCGTATAATGCAGCGGCAGCATACTTGGTGTACTGGCAGCTGCTTCAGCATGATGTGTGGGCTGTAATTCCAACCTTTTCTTTTTTTTTTTTTTTTAAAGAAGGAAGTATCTCCTATCTCTTTGAAATGAAATAAGCATACAGCTCTTTTGTGATCACGGGTGTGCAGGCTTGGAAACACGATTTTACTATGATTTTATGCTAATATGAGCACAAGATACTAAGTTGCACACTTACGGTATTGATATGCAATAGCACTGACCACAGCAGCTGGTCTGCCCCGAGGAGCACCGATCGTTCACCCCTTTACATCTTACAGAAAACGGTGCTCATGTACCTCTCTGCATTTTAGCAAACAGGGCTACAGGTATGGCTTTTCAGAGGAGACGTAGGATCCAGAAAATGCTTTCCAGAATAAAACAAGGAGGTGAGAGGGCTGGGGGAGAATCTGAACTCTCTCTGCTGAGCATCTGTAACAAAGCAAAGTTGTGTTCGTGGGATCAGAGTCAAACACTTGAGGTACCGCAGGCAAACCTGCCGACTGCTCTCGAGATGCTATGGAGGAAGGGTCATTAATCATGTTAATTGGTACAGTTTAATGCTGTAAAGTTTTCTACTATCGGAGAAGACAGCTGCCATTTGGGAATAGCAGTGTGTAGATGAATATTCTGCAGGTAGATGAAAGATTTAGGTGGCATGAGATGTAGGCAATTTGGGAATGTAAGGGAATAATAAAACAACCTCTCAGGGAAGCTCGAGGACTTGTGCAACAGCCAGTGTGGGAAGATCTAACTGAGACTTACCTGCCTCATCCCCTCCCTAGCCAAATCCCTCTGAGACTTCAGACCGGGAGTGGAAATACTGGAGGAAGCACTGTTAGTATTGATCCTGGGAAGGGCTTTTGTGTGGTGGCACGCAGTGTGTGTTTGGTCTGCTACCACACGTATCGAGGATCAGGGGGGGCTTGTTGAAATAACTGTTCTTGATTAATTGGTTAGCGTCATCAGTAATCCCACTTCAGACATTCTATCAATGAGAGGCAAACTTGTTAGGGCATAAAACCATGTGTATCACCAAAACGTGTTTATAAAAATTGGCATTAATCTGAAATGTATTAGGCTGGTCTAACCTCGCAGCTAACTGCTGGTGGTGTTTACGCTTAATGCCTTTGAGAGTCTGCACTGCTTCTGGACCAGGAGCCTCATGAAAACAGAAGGCAAGTTGGGTGAGATGGGAAACTTCTCTTTTCCTGTTGTGGCAAGCAAATCTTCAGGCAGCATAAATCCGCAGGCTGACGGGGCCGTCACCCAGCTGTGGTGGCTTATGTGGTGCTTCATGTTTGGAAGAAGGTGGTAGACATGGAGCAGGATGTATGCTCCTTTTCCAGGATGTCAAAGGCAATGCTGAGATGCTGGCCGCAAGAGAGTTGTTGCTGGGAGCTGGAGGAGGGTCTGACTATGTTTTGGAAGTGAGCAGGGGATGGAGCGGGACAGGGCAGAGCTGAGCCAGGGGCTCGCAGGCGGCTTTCCAGGGAGGGCGGCTGGGCAGGAGCTGTGGGTGCGTGCTGACCCTGGGCTTTACCCCGGGGGCCAGTCACTGGCTGAGGAAAACGAATTCCACTGAATTTGTACAGCCAAGGGCTCGCTGTACAGAGTCACGCTTGTACCGGTCAGGCTGCGTGGATTTGGGGAAGGGGAAAGAAGAAAAGCGCTTTTGTTGAGCGTACAGCCAAGTCTAGACTATAACTTGTCATAAATTATAAGAGTAATTGCCGTGTTTGAAGAACTCTCCTTAATATACAGAAAACAAAAGCTCTTGAAAAGTGATACCAGCCAGCACGTTGTCTTTTTTTTGGCTGCCCTTAGAAAAGACCTTTTCCCTTCAGTTTTTCGGCATTGCCACCAACTGCAGTCTCCTCTTCCACTGACCCAGGTGGGACTTTCTCTCCTGTTTCTCTTCGCAGTGCTTACGGCAGATGGGGAAGCTGATGATGGAGTGCTGGGCTCACAATCCTGCCTCCCGGCTCACAGCCCTGCGGGTCAAGAAAACACTTGCCAAAATGTCAGAGTCTCAGGACATTAAACTCTGACTCGGCCAGAGGCAGTTCTTGTGAAGGCCCATGGAAACGGACTTTCTCGTGCAGGCAGAAGTCCTGAAGAGGTATCAAAAGTCTTCGCTAATAAGTATCTTGAATGCAGTCATGCTTAAGAGCAGCTGTAGGTTCGTTTAACAGCTTTTGAGGAGACTATCCTTTGCAAAAATCAGCTGAATTTTGACATACAAGATTGAAAGAGGCTTGTCTGCCCTTGTTTACACGGGGAAATACAGTTTTAGTAACTGGTTTAAGATTATGCATGTTGCTTTCCATGAAAGCCACTTATTATTTTATTATTATTATTATTGTTATTATTATATTTTGACTGTTTAAAAAGATACTGCTTTAAATTTTATGAAAATAAAACTTTTGGTTAGAAGTAAAAAAGATGTATATTGTTACATTGAAAAAAAAATAATTGGAGGAAACTGTGCTGAAAAGTGAAAGCAAAGCGACTTTTTCATTTATAAAGAGGCTATTGCACTCCAGCATTTAAAAAAAGGACAGTGGGTCTGTGCAGCTCAGAGGAGCTGTAATGAAAACCGTCTTGAAAGCTGTCTACCTGCGGAGATGACTTGCCGTAGCCTTGCGCGTGCAAGCGGTTCTCATAGTATAGAGATGGAGCCCAATTACATCCCTGCCATCGTTAGCACAGCTGGCTGGGTTCCTGTGGGTGACTTGTCCCAGGGGAGGTCGTGCTTTGCTTAAGATAATCGGGAGCTGTATGAATATGGTTCGGCATGACTTGTTTGAAGAAGCTCTTCATGTTTCCAGGAAATCTGATGGGGTATGGTACCACGATGATAAACAAGTGCCCCTTTTCTCGGCTTTTTTTTTCCTCTTTCCCCCTACTGCAAAATGAAGTATTTTGTGTGTGAGTGGAAATGAAGTACACATTTGGATCCACTGGTGAATTTGAAACTGCTGTGACCTATATACACAACCACTGAGTAAGAGGAATTTCCTTGTGAGAAAAAAATTATTCACTTGCTCTTCGATCTGTGTAAAAGTGAGGTATCCATCTACAACCACAGAAAGAAAAATAAAAATCTGTGTTCCCTTTTTTACGGGAAAGTGAAAAACCTCAAAGAATCCCCGTTTGTGGGGTGGCAATCATTTTCCTTTAAGCGTAAGGAGACCTGGTGCCTCCTGGCCACAGTAGGAGGCCAACAGGGAAGGAGCGTGGGACTTGGGTGGGCGGTGAGAGCTGGGCACGGGGGCCGGCAGTGGGCAGGTGCCTCCAGCCCTTCTCCTGCTGTAGCAAGAGGCACCCCAAACCAAACAATTTGGCTCAAGCTTCGTCTGCCTTACTATTTGGAGTGTCCTTCCAGCAGCCTCCATGCCTCTGGGAGCCACTGCACGGTAGTGACAGGCTCTGCTGCCAAGCTGGGGCTCCGTAGCATCGTGGTTTCCAGCAAGAGGAGCTTTTAGGGGAGAAGAGAAATGGGAAACATATTTACCATCTTTCCCCATTCCTCCTTCCTGGGGCCGCAGCAGTTGCTGCAATGTTAAAACTACAGAAGGGGAAATGAGAGGTGAAATATTCCCTGTGAAGTATTTTCTTTGGAAAGGTCTCTGTTCTTCATCAGGTTATCAAAGCTGAGCTGTATGGGAGTTACCAGTTTGCCCTTTTTTACCCTTCTTTTATTTTATTTTTTTAAAATTTTTGCCTGCCTATATCCTGTTTCACTAGGTGGTGTTCAGTTTAATTTTGAAATAAGTCCTTACAAATGCTGCTTTGATTATGCTAAGCCTATTTCAGAACTGAAATAATTCCCATGCTGGATTTAGCCTCAGCATTTCTCTAATGCTTCTTTTTTCCCTTTTTGGACAAAACTGATTTATTTGTGGTAGGTAGGTATATAATTGGGGTTTAACTTCACAGCTCCCTGAAGGTGTTTCTAGTTGGAAAAATTACCATTTTATACTTTCAAGCTAAGAGAGAAAAATGCACAGGTTCAAGAGAACCAGCAAGACCTCCATGACTGTAGGTGTTAAAAAGTTTAATCAGAGGATTTTCATTAATTAGAGTGCTTTTTCCACAGTGCGGTTTCCCTGCCTGTACCCAAAAATACCAAGCAATACAAAAAGAAAATCTCCGAGGGGTTATAGTACACTGAACCCTGGCCTCAAGAGAGGCGATGCTGGTTTCCTCTGTCCTTAATAAACAGCGTGCTTGCGTGGCTGAGAGTGGAGTTTGCTCCTCTCTTTGGCTGCCTTGGTTTGAAGATCCGTGGCCCAAAATGAGAAGGACAGCCCAGTCTCTCTTCACCTTTTTGTCTTAGTGAATGGAGCCACAGGGTTTCTACTCTAACTCCTTTCGCCTTCATGCCCTTTCATAAAAACCAGCACAGCCCCGAGGAACAGGGGTTTCTTGGCTCCGCTGAAGCGGATGGGACCGTTGACTTTGGCAGCGGTCAAGGCAGGCTCGGTCAATCCCATCTCCGAGCCCGGTCCCTGTGGGTCCCGGGTAAGTGGTTGTGCAGCAGGGGTGCCTCTTCCCTGCCATGTTTAGGTGTTTTTTCACATCTGCTTTCCTCAAATAGATTTTTTAAAAAAAAAATTTTTTTTTTTTTTAATATTATCATGGCTCTCCCCAGAAATGTTTTGGAGGGTGCTTTGCTGGCTGGTGGACGTGATGCACACAATGCCCCTGGCACCTGCTGTCAGTGTGTTACAAGAGAAAGGGCCAGTTGCTGGTTTTCTGAACAAGTCTTAATTTTTTGGTCCAAAAGAAAGGGATCTAAGATACTGATTGATAGGTTACATAAAGTGTGTATGTTAAATGTTCGAGTTTATGTGTTTTTTATATATATATAAATATATATATATATATATATATTCAGTTGAGAGTCTGGAATAACTCCAGTATGTGGATTAAGAGTAAACTATTATGGATGATAAAGCACTAAATAAAACATAATATTTATTTGTGAAAATGCATAAATGACAAATCACTGCAACGGTGCTATATAGGAAAATAAATATATATATATATATATGGAGACACACTCTGAGAAAGCAAAGGGTCTGCAGTTGTATAACTAGTGCGTGCCCATTTTCTCTGAAGACTCAAAAGGCCAGATATTGCCCTCAATTCTCCTACCCACTGTAATCGATGCTTATGTAAGGGGATATTCCTAAGGTCAGAAAACAGCCTAAGGCAAGCGTGGAAGTCGTTTGTTCTAGCACTGTGACATTCGAGTTACCACTTGCATGGCTGACTTTCTGCAACATTCAACATGTAATTATTATGGTTTCAGCATGTACAGTGACTGCAGGTTAGTACATTTATTTTGCCAGATGTGGCCTTTTATTGTCACTTCCAGGTTTTGGTAGTTTCACAGTGCATATCAATGAGGGCTTGGAAGTAGGTGATGAAGATAATCGTGGCTTCAGTGCCCGCAGGTCTGAAAATCCAATTTTCGAATGTAAATCACTGAAGGAAGCTTAGTTTAGTGACTTATTGGCATAGGTAAGATGGCATAGGTAAGTGGGAGAAGAAGGAGGGAAGAAAACCCAAAACAAAAAGAGGAGAGATGCCATCTAGCAACTGCTATCCTTTCTCTAGCACAAAGTTATTTCTGTTAAAGAAAAGGTTGACAATGTAAAGACTAAGAAACGAATTTGTGTTCTTTTTTGAGAACCAGTGCCTTATTAAACCTGTAAATACTGTAATTAGAAAACCTGGGGAACAAACTGTGTTACATTGTATTTGTTCAAATTGTATATGGTTGTTTTAACATTCCCCCCAAATAAAATTGTTTCCATCTCCGCATGAAAGAGATTGCTTTTTCTTCTATTTATTTTTCATGTGCTTGAAAAGCACCACCTTTGGGTTTCATTTCACTGGCTAGGTTATTTTGACCGTGCCTCACTGTATTTACTTATTTTTTTATAAGATTTTTCCTGAGCAAACAAGTAAACAGCAAGATGTTGCATATGTTTCCACTGGCATAAAAAAGCATCACCCTCTTCACAACTCAGTGAAGAGAGAAATGGTAATTAAAATAGTGTTATCACTAATAGAGCAGTCACTCGCATTTTGTGGCTGATTATGTGAATCTTTAGAAATTTGGCATTCGCATAAAATTTTTGTGAGGCCCCCCCCCCTTATTTCCCCCACATATTTATGAATTGTGACTACTATTTTTAATAGCACATAAGGCACAGGAGGTAATCTGTGCACAGACTGAAGCTAGATTTTCCAGCCCCATGCTTCAGGAGAAAAAAAGTTGCAGCCTACATATACCGCATGAGCTGAAATGCGGCGTTGCTTAATGCTGAGAGACATTGGAGCGTCTGTATCTCTACATGTAGAGAGATATTTGTATGTATTTGTATTTACGGCCTGAGCTCTCCTCTCGTTCTGCAGTGCCGTGTTGCAGCATGCAACATTCAGCTCAGCATTTCCTAACATGTAATTACCTTGCTGGTTATTTTCAGAGAAGTGTGTAAACAGCATTTTTTCCTTGAGCTGCATCTTACCGCTGACTAACACAGACCCTGCAGCCCTCCTGCTTTGCCCCAGGCCATCTGTGATCAGTGGCGGAGCGTTGCAGTTAGTCTCCAGCAGCATTTCCACAATCCCTTGGCCAGGCCATGTCTAGGTGGGAAAGCCCCATGCTTGCTGCACATTGTCCCTGGCATGTCACTGTATCCCATAGTTTTGGGGCTGTTTCTGCCCCCCTTGGCTGCACGGTGCTGAAGGCGATTCGGTGCTTCAGCACAGCCCATCTCAGCTACACCTTCTCCAGCATGCTGCTGAGATAGGTGTTTCTGCAGCTGCCCTCTGTTCCCCCCATCCTGCTTGCTTTGTCCCCTAACTTTCCAGGTATGGCTTTTTTGGGGCAGTCCTAGACTGTTCTCATTTTCTTTCCTCTCCACCTTGCTAGGTGCATGGCTACTATTTAGCCTTGGGCTTAGCTACCCCTATCTTCTGCAGCTGCATGCAGCACTGGCACTGTTTCACTTCCATTTGAGGTTGGCAGAGTCGTGCTACTATCCCCTGCCAAAACCAGAGCTCTGCTTCTTCCTTAAACACACCAAACCATGCCTTTCACAACCTGGGAAGGAGAGTTGCAGTCTCACCTTCAAACGCAGAAGCACTGGAGCAGACACTTCCAGGAGTCTCAGGAAGAACAGCTGAAGGTGAGGAACCTGAAGGAAAAGTCCCTGAAGATAAGGAGGGAACTGCTTGGCCAATGCAAAGACTGCAGGCTATGGCAGACCCAACCCATGGGGGTGTCAGAAACCAAAGGAAACTTGAGTTCGGCAATACATGTAGACAGGGTGGGAATAGAGGGATGGACAGAAAAGAGCTTGTCTCCTGTGAAAGCTAAGTATGCAAAGGGAAAGGCCGACAGACACCAGGAAATCTA